GACACTTCGGTGCAAGATTATGCCAAAATTCCATGTTTTCCGTCCCGTTTTTGCTCATTTCTCGGAGGCAAAATGAGCAAGAACGCTTATTTGTATATCATTCTAGGCAGAAATAAATGACCTTTTTAGAAAGTGAACCATCGAGAAGGAAACGTTGGTAGTTTTTCAAAAAATGCTTGAATTCAAGAAGTTTTAGATTTGCATGTTTTTTTTTGAGTTGCAAAATCCACTTGAACATGACGCTGATTTTTTGGAAGTTTCTCAAGAACCATTCGAGCCCCAGAATTCGTTTTGGCATCGTTGGATAGAGAATTGAATGGGGGGGTCATGAACAGTGAGTTCAGGCATCGTTCTACGTTGAATATGAAACCAACCCTTTTTGTATTCAATGGTTCTTTTGCAAATATCTTAAAAACGGTGCCAGATGCGACAAAAATATTAGAGACGAGAAAGTTTCAAAATCGAATAGAGAATCAGAAGAAAAGCAAGAAAGCTCGAATTCAGTGGCGCAACATATCAAATTTTTAACTTTAACATCCTGTATCTTGGAAACCAAGCCTTTAGGCATACGCTTATATAAACGCTTCGACTTATTTATCCCGAATCTCCAGAATAAAACTAATTATTCTAAAGCCAACCCTGTGTAAAGGGGAATCTGGGTCAAAACGTTCCACAAAATACTCGACCATATATCGATTGGCTGTCTCTTTTTATTGCAACGTTTGGGGCCCAACGCATCGTTCAGACGCAAGACATTTTAAGGTGTCGCGTTTAATTCCTAAAATCAAGTTGATTTGTTTGGGGCCCTTTAAAAATGGCTGGTACTCGAATATCGAAATTACAATTTTCGATCGAATCGTCCAAGATTCAGAAATGTAATTTAAGCAAGTTCAATTTACAATTTATGTAGAAGCATCTGGTTCCTCAAGAGGCATATTGTTGATACCAACAAGGTAGGTAACATATTGCATAAGGCATAACTAAAAAAATCAATTTGCTTAACACTGGGATGAAATTGTTCAACAAATTTTCCAGCTACAAAATGAAAATCAACGCAATAAGAATGAGCACCCCCATAGAAGAGAAGGTGGATCAGAAGTTGAAAGTTCGCACTGGAATGGTCACAGTTAGTGATGGCAAGAGTAGGCCAACACCAGTTCAACTTCACTTGTCCATGGAGGTTCTTCGGCTTCAAAAGGAAGAACCCATTCCGATGGACTCAAAACCTTTGAACTCGAAGGTACCAAGCTTGCAATAAAGTAGCATATCAACTTTTACAAAATTCATTTTTTTGTCTTGTTTTATTTGGTGTTTGTATGCTGATCGTTGTAACCCAGAAATTAATTGTTATGCTTTATAAATGGGAAAATTTAGGGCAAAAAGATTTGTGGGTGGAAAGAAGGTAAAAAGTCACTCTAAAACACAACACAAACCAAGTTTCGATAACGGGCAAAAAATAATAAATAAATAGATAAATGCGAAAGCATAATTTTTCCAAAAAAATAGCTTTTTGACAAATTACAATTAAAATGTGTTTTTGGCTTATAGCTATGAAGCACTTCAAATACTGAATTTGTTTATTCTTGTTTTTTATTTCAAATGTTTTTTCTGTCCATTTTTTGTGCAATTTTTCAGTTAAGAATGTTGAAAACTTGGACATTTAAAGCAGACAAATTTCGCTTTTCACAAGGTTAAATTAAAGTCTGTTCTTGAGGTATAGCTATAAAGCACATCAATTTACCCATTTTTTTAATTTAATATTTTATCTAAATTGTTTCTTCTGTTGCTGTTTTTCTGAACGTTGAAAAACATTAGCAAAAATGAGTGGATTTGGGCTAGAAAACAACAACAATGAAGTGATTCATCGTTGAAAAATCCTCTATAGGCTACACATGCACATTTAAGTATGCCAAAAATTGAACCACTATTGCTATACAAATAGTTTCGATAAAGACCATTTTAATCAGGAAATGTGGTTCTTTGATCTATTTTTTTCCTGTTTCAACCATAGCTGGTTGTGTGGATTTTTGGACAAAAATTTTGAAAAATTTTCAGAAATCTAGTCGCTTGAATGACAATAAAGGCCAACGCAATTTCGAGTGACTAATCTTTAAAAATCCTCTGTAGAATTATTTAATAACTCCAAATTTTGGGGCACTGTATTCACCAGGACAGCGAAATAATGTCGATAAGGCGCCTTTTAAACAGAAAATGGGCTCGAAATTTTATTGAAAACATTCATAACAAATTGTCTTTCAGCAGCTGCTTTACAGAAACAAAATATCGTAAACATTTGTATACACAAAAATAAAATAACATTGAATTTACATCTTGTCAAAAAACAAATATACGCGTTTTTCAAACCGCTCCTTAGACATCGGGATTTAGAACAAAAACTTGGCCATCGAATAGTGAAATATTAAAAAGTGAAAAAAAATGTTTGTTAAAAGTTGACTATTCATCAGCACAACTTTGAACAAACATGCTCACTTCTTTCGAATAGACACAGTTTTCAGTCATGATTTCCTTCACTTTACTAGTAGTTAATTTTATGTTTAAACGCAAACCTAAATAAAAGCCTTCTCAATATTAATTTGAAGCAATCAAATCATCAGTAATCAGTACTCAACGCAAAAATAGGCGAATTTCAACAAAAAAGGTACGATTGAGATTGAGTACTATTTTGGGGTTTGTAGGAGAGGATGGTGCAAATTCATAGGCAAAAAGTTGGCGGTCTTGGTCTAAGTATTAAAGGTGGTGCCGAACATAAACTTCCAATACTGATTTCAAGAATTTATAAAAATCAAGCTGCCGATCGGACTGGTGATCTTTTCGTTGGAGATGCGATTATTAAAGGTAGTTTCTTTTAAGAAACAAAATTTTCAAGTATTTAATGATTGCTTGTAGTTAATGGGGAATACATAACTGCATGCCCCCATGATGATGCTGTAAATATTTTAAGAAATGCTGGAGATTTAGTAGTATTGACTGTGAAACATTATAAGGCTGCCACACCGTTCCTGCAAAAGCAAGGTAGATAATCCCAGATAGTAAAAAAATGAGTGAAAAATGGAAACAACATTAAATTTATAGATGACAAAGATTCTCAACAGACTGATAGTAACAGTGAAAAGGAAGCTTCCGATGAAAGTTTTCGTATAACTTCAAACAGTACTAGTAGTAGACCAAGTTCTATTTGTTCAGAAATGGACCAAGAAACAATTCAAACACATTGGGTTGATATTATTACCGTGCCTTTGATGATGGCATATGTTACTAGATACATATTTGGTACCGACAAGTTGAGACCGAATTCGTTTGAAGTTCGAGGATTAAATGGAATCAGTACTGGCATAATACATTGCGATGATTCTGCCATTCTTTCTCAATGGCTTAAATTTATTAACGATAATATTATTGGACTAACTAGTCTACAAGTGAGCGTTTCAATGCGAATTCTGAACCCATTTTTTACACGTCGTTTTTCAGATGAAGTTATACAACAGAAACTTCACTGTTTCGGATCGGATAGAATACATGGGATGGGTAAACGAATGTGTTCTGAACAACAACCAACCTTGGCAGAATTATAAGCCCCGATTTCTGGCTCTTAAAGGAACAGATCTAATGCTCTTGGACTCTCCACCAGTAAGCAAATGAAAAAATCCTAAAACTCGATTGTAATTTGCACTTTTCAGCTTAACTTGGCCGACTGGAATAAATGCTCACTGGCATTCAAAGTTTACCAAACAATGTTTAGAATAGTTAAAGACTCGGAAAATGTTGATGAAAGGCAGCATTGTTTTCTAGTTCAGACATCGGGGCAAGAATCTCGATATTTTTCTGTTGAAACCCGACAGGAATTACTGAGGATTGAAAATGCTTGGCATTCTGCTGTATGCAATGCTGTTATGAAATTAGGCGTAAGTATCAGAGTGCCTTCACAGAAACATTATTTGGCAAATTGTATTGCAACACTCTTTCCTTAATTTTATTTATGTATCAAATTATACCATAGGGAAATATGCTTCATTTTGCAGTCATCTCAAGCACAGAGGTGCAAATGAGGCAAAGTAAATCATTTTGTTTTCGACTTCGAAATAAAGCCCCAGCCAAACCAAAACAAAGAAGATTACCGATTGTTTAGTTTTTTGGATATTTTTTCACGACGTCCAATAATTTGACTTATTTAGTTAAGCGTTGCAACAATGAGCTTTAGGGCTTTTTTAGGCCATCGTGGACAAGAATTTCCGCCAAACGTTTCACAAGCATGAGTGGCTTGCATCTTCAATCAACATCAGCTCAATTTTCCACTATAGCCTAAAAGACCGAAAAACTCACCAGGTTTACGCAATAGTCGCAAAAGCCTAACTATTTTGTTAAAGGTTGCAAGTTTGGCAAAATTACTGGTTTTCTGTTATGGCGGATGAACCCCAAGTGAAAATTGCATGACAAAGTCATTAAACAACGAGGTGTTGCATAAGTTTCCTGCTAATTACGCAATGCTAAAGCACATACGACAAATTATTATTATTGTTATAAGCGGAAAACATTGTTATCTCATCTGAGAAGGTATTAGCGACTTCAATAAACGAGGCATCGTAGGGTGACACGGTTAAAAAAAATAGTGACTAATAAAACGTATGCAATTATACTACATATATTATAGTTACAGGGACAATTTTTTGTATTTTACAGACTAAGACTTTTACGGTTAGCAGTAATGGGAAAACTGCAGGATTGACGCTGGATTGGAATTTGGGATTTTCACTGTTTGAGGGCGACTCAAAAACTTTAGTCTGGCAATACAAATTCTCACAGCTTCGCGGTTCTTCTGATGATGGCAAATCGAAGCTCAAGCTTCATTTCCAAGACATTGACACTAAAGCCATTGAAACTAAGGTAGCCGTCGACTAATCAGCAAAAGAACTTACTTATAAAAGTTTTATTCTAGGAATTAGAGTGCGCAATTTTGCAAAGTTTGCTTTATTGCATGCACGCATTCCTAACGGCAAAAGTAGCGTCTGTGGATCCCGGATTTCTATGCTCGACACTTCCATAGGCCATACTCATTAAAAAATAGATTAATAATTGAAATAAGACCCAACAAATTTCATTGTACGAACGGTAAGTTTGGACTAAACCAAATTAGATGACTGATTTAGATATCGTGTTTTCCTAAGACTGCGGTTGTGTAACAATGCGCCCTTGCTTTCTTCAGCATTTGAGTGATTTTTAATGATCTGATAGATGTTAATATTAGCTCTTGAGGATATTTATATGTGCTTACTTAATAAGTACCTACTTCATTTTTTTGTCGCTTGTGGAGCAAATCACACAGAAAACTGTCTAATTGCCATTTAACGGATTAGGGGTTGATTTTTTATTGATATAATGGCGAACGTTTTTGCATTAATTTAAACGTTTCAAACAGTCCCGATAATATACGACCACCTGAAAAAAATCTTTTTTTCCTTACTGAAATAAGTCTTCCAAATGCATTTCATTTTGCAGTTGCAATTTAGTCTTATAAGACCCGATAATTTAATTTAAATGAATGCAGTAATGAATTAAAACCACACTGGAGGTAAACAGTTAAAAAATTCCTTTACAAATCGCACTCATGATATACAGTGTGCCTGCTATAAGAGCGTCATTTTTTCACTACCTGCTGGGCAATTTTCGTCTAGGTAGTAGGCCTGAATAAAATGTAAAAATTCAGATCTTCTCAATTATATTTCATTAACTATTTGAGACAGACAACTCGTTTGAACACATTTTAGTAACTTTGCCCTCTTTAGCTTGGGTCCGCCGGTATATTTCTTTGAGGCAGCCAATTTGCGAACTTATCTATTATCGTCCTTTTCTCCTTTAACACATGGAAAGTAAAAGAAGCTTGTTAAAAATTTATAAAATCCAACTTGAAAAGCGCTAAAACAGGTAATATTTAAAAACATGATGTCCTCACACAATATAGGTATTAAGTAGGCACATTGTTATTATGAGACAAACTATAGCTAATCTACTTACATTTCCCCGATACATTTTCACCAGAACACATCACTCCGTATTTAATTGTTGCCTAAAACACACACGATTGAACAATTAAATCGCTAACTTGATCTCACACTCGACGCGCCACAACTCCAAACAAATTCCTCAAATAAACCAACGTTTTTTTTTAGTATAATAGTCTAAAATGGCAAAATCACCGCTTCTGAATGATCTACTAAACCATTATTACTCTCGTATACGTTAACTGGTACGTATATGAGAGTAACTCATGAAATGTGTTTTTTTTTCACTATTTATTTTGTTGTCGACAATATTCCTAAAAAGGTTCAAAATATCAAATCACATTATTCCGGTAATAGCAAGTCAACTTCGGTTTAGCTGAAATATTATCTAAATAAACAAACGGCCTGCATGAAAACGAGTTTATTTTAATTGTTTACACAAACATTGCCATTACTTTTTCTACAAAAATTTTGTTTTTATGCAGTTGGAAACCCATTAGATGCGAAATTTGTCTGGAACAAATCCCGCGACAAAAAGTGTTTTTGCCATTATTTATACCAGAAATGGTAATAAAAATGGTTGCTCTTTTGCAGAACTGTTTGTATAAACACGGCGAATAAATAAATATAGTTCGTCCGCACAAAGTTCAGCTAAACGAAAGTTGTGACTCATTTTTGTTGTTATTTGCTCAACTGAAGGGATGTTTATATGAACATGCTCGTCAATTGAATAAACCAGTCCAGAGACATTTACACACATATTTTCCATATATATTTCCGTAAAGCAGCTCATCTAGTAACTTTCTAACTCAATAAACCGAGCCAGAAAAAGTTAACAAATGTTTTCTTTTTGTTAGACATTTTATACTAAACAGCGTCTGCATTCTTCAGCATTACACGCAATTAGTAGGCTTTAGATTTGCCAGTATTCTAGTGATTATGGGCTGTAGTTGAATAAGTATTGGTATTCTGCACACTGTATAGCATATATAAACTCATTGTTAAGAAACATCACAAGTGTCTGTAGTTAAAAAAGTCATCGCATCAACATATCATTATAGTGTAATAATAAATGGTCAATCTTTTCATCAATTAAACTATATTCTAACTAGTATAGGTATTAGGTAATAAGAGATTAGCATATACTATATGATCGATCTAATTTAGGAACCTGTTCTGGTTTTGTTAGTTAAATTATCAACTCTTAATTATGCAGTTTGCATAAGGAAAACTGAATAAAAAACGAAAAATTCTCTTGACTCGGGAAGCAATTTGTTGATGAAAAAAGGCATTCTGAAAATTTTACATTCAGAATTATTGTGATTCTGTAGACTACACTTTACTAACTTAACCAAAATATGGTTGATATTATTGTTAATTATTGAATCGAAATTTTAAAAATGTGTTATAAAGTTATATTATTTAGGTGTCGAACTTCTTAGGAAATTGTACTTTAGTGTGTTGATTTGTACATCTCACGAGTTGATGGCTTATGCAAATATGTATTGAGCTGTATTAGTTGTTATTCATTTACAGAGAAGTAGATCAATTTACGTCAAGAAAAGCACTTTATTTAATTAGCAGTTTCTCTAGTTTTCTTGGATGCCAAATATATTTAACGCGATCTTTCTGATTGAAACCCAGGGAAACTTGAAAAACTCAGCCAAAACAGTAATAGTAATATTAATTAATCCATAACGCATTTTGAATGACTTTGGAGCATATAGAGCCTGCATTGGAAGCAAATGAATAACAATTAATGTTATGACTATTTAAATTAAGTGTGAAGTAAACTATAATGGTTGTGATTTTAATGCTAAATTCTTTGTATGGGCCATGCGAAACAGTTTCACAGCATGACCTGCTTCACTTCTATCGTCGTAGTAATTCGAAGCTAACTTGTGCGTACAACTAGTCAATTCTAAGGACTTTGAGATTGTTTTTAGGCATAACATCGTATGTGGAAATTGGGACTGTTTTGTTAGAACATGACGATTACTCGTTAGTAGTTGGGGCAAGAAATAAGTGTACATACGAGCGCAAAACATTACTATGATTCTTTTAGAAAACTTCAGCATCGACTCTATACCTCAACCTTTCAAGCAGTTAACTTTCTGTAATATATCCTGTCACCTACGAATATCCTGGTTTACTATAGGATAATATTTGTGTAATACCTTAAAAGAGATAATTGTTCGTTTACCTACTGCCTGTCACCATATATATCAAAAGTAAGTGTAAAGGGGTTTAATAATCAAACCTTCATTGCTTCTACCTAGTTATAATTGGCAATTTTTCAAGTTAATTCAAAGCGAACCGAAATATCGCCAGTTATAAAACAACGCAGTGCAAGTAAAAATGGGTTCTTGGAAATCAACATTGTCTAGCAATTTCACACATATGTCCCCTTGCTAAAAATTTGATAAGAATCACCTTAGATTGAAGTTGCATTGCCCAGTATGACCAAATTGTTCTGTTGTTATTTTAATGTTACCAAAAATTAATAATCGTTGACAATATAAATAAATTTATTTAGTACCCTTTAATGAGTTGTTTCATTTTTCAAACCTGCAAACCTCAGAGTTTATTTTGCGGAAAAATCGAAATCCGTAATAAAAAATCGAAAACTGCAAACTAAACAGAAGTGGGCGAAGATGACGCAAAACAATATCACCAAAGTGCAACAGTACAAGGTTTTTAGAAAAGCGCAGCAGTTTTACAAAAAATATTTTAAAATAAAAACCAGTATGACGATTAAATTATTCTGTTGTTATTTTAATACCAAAACTTAACAATCGTTGACAAGATAAATTTATTTTATTTAGTACCTTTTGAGTGGCTTCATTTTTTAAACCTGCAGACTTTAAAGTTGGATATTTCGCTAAAAAAAAATTGAAAGGGATGCAAACTGGAGCAGAAATGGGCGGGACAGACGCAAAAAATTACACCAAAGTTATGAACAGTTGCTGATACAACGTTTTTTGAAAAGCCGCAGATTAAACTTGCAAACTTTATCAAGGATGTTTTTTTATAGATATATAACTTTAAATTGAAATAAAATTCATGTTACTGGCTTTATTGAAAATACAATTGTATGCCATTTAGCTTAAATATTATTTGGGCCAAATGGACGCCGAGGCTGGCTCGAATGAAGAGCAATCCACGAAATAAATCCAATTTTCGACCACTTTAATTCCACTAGACCATAAAAACGAAGCACAACAAACAGTGAGTTTTTCTGGATATAGCGTCGTCTCAATAATGGCTTTCGGATTTTCAGTTTTCATCGCACCAAATTCGGCAATTTATTTCGAAAATTGCTGTTCAGTTTGCCAAACGCACCGTGTGCTCTACGTTCGTTTTACGGTCGACATAATCGTTTTTGGCTCAATTTAGAGCGATGAAAGTCCAGAAGCCATTATTGAGACCCCGTTATATTCCGAAAAACTCACTATTTTTTTTACTTTATGGTCTGGAAGAAGTTTGGAAGTGGTCGAAACTTGGACTCTCAGATTGCTCTTAATTCGAGCCGCGGCGCATTAGACCCCAAATCATCTTTAAGCTATAATGGCATACAATTCCCTTTTCAATAAAGCCAGAACCATAGCGTTTACATGATTTTAGTGCGTTTTATTTCAGTTTAAAGTTCTATACTTCTAAAAAACACCCTTCAGTTGGAGGATTCGCGGAATAATTGCAATACGTAATCAAAAATCAAGTTGAGCAAACTAAAACGGAAATAGACGAGGAAAACTAAAAAAATAACAGTAAAGTGACAATTGATTGCAGCAACACGTTTTTTTTTAGGGAAGCCGCAGCACTTTTACATCTCACCAAAGAACCTAAACAAACAACACACGACAAAAAATATATAAATAACGTATATTGCTTTAAGTATTTTGCATTTTTATGTACATAGATATATTAATTCGGAAAATATTCTATATTTAACAACAAAAAAGAGTGACTAATACTTCAGTAAATACTGACTCAATAAAACAGAGCAATCACTATGGGATTAACACATTCCTGAAAATGTGTTGTGTGGGGGATTGTTCTCGCGACGAGCAGCTTGTAAAAAGCGCAAAATGTTACGATATATAAATAATACTATATAGATTTGGAAGTTAAAGCCACCTATTAAACCTTGTCTTTTAAGGCCAAAACTGGCCAGAATAGGAAGATGGATCCGATTAAGTAAGTGATTTTGGATCCAACGCCCCAAAACGCGATGCTTGCAACAATCGGTCCTAAAGCCCGTGCTAGAGCGCCTAAAGATCGAAAAATACCCATAACGGTGCCTTTTTGTTGCTCCGTTCCATGTTGTGATGCCAGAGTGGTGATAGAAGGAACCACCATAGCTGTTGCTAAAACAGCCGAATATACACCATATACATTTTTCATTTACGTACGCAGTAATTCACTAAAATTAAATGGAATAACAAGCATTACTTACAGACAGCGTACAGGAACAGTCCAAAATATAAGAGCAAAGGTCCGGTTGCGAGCCCAACCGAGATGAATGATGGAATGATGATCCAAAGCCCCAAAATGCCTGTTGAGCGCGTTTTATGAGGAGGGACTCTTCGAACAAACGCTCCTTGTATGATCGCCATTGTTAAACCTACATGTAAATATAAATATATAGAGTGATTTTAAATATATGAGGTCTTACCGATGGCAAAGAACATCCACCCTTGTTGCATTGAAGTGTAGTTGAATACGTGGTGTGTTAAGAAAGTTAATGTAAACTCTAGGCCGCTATATATGAATAAATAGACAAAATATATCAATCCCAGTCTTCGAAGTTCTTTTAAGTCTTGGCTTTTAATATTCTTTACGGCAGTGAATTGAAATAAATCTTTAACGTTAATTAGGGTTTTCGCATGGTCTAGAGTAGCCGCAAAATGTTTGGCACGTTTTTCCTGTAAACAATCGCAATTCAACCAAAGAAACAATATGGTTTAAATAACGAATATACCTTGGGAAGCGATTCCTTGAAAAATATTGCAAAATAAATCACATCAGCAATGGATAACATAAGAGCGAATAAGGCGGGAACAACAAACCAGTTGCCAGTTTTTTGCTTGGCCCATACGGCAAATATAGCCCCTATCATTGGCCCCACAATAAAACCAAGAGAAAACGCTATACCAACTAAAGCCTAAAATTAAAAAATACATACAGAATGTTATATATGTGTGAAATATTTTAATGAGCATGTAACAATAAGCGAATACATAAGTTTTAACTGAAACTCCTCACTCACTGCGCTCTCTCGACAAGTTCAATTATTATCCATCTTTTGAATGACATTTTTTAAAGGCTTTGGTTGAGTTGAACGAGAAAAGGTCGCCCCTGGCTTATTTCGAAAGCGAGGACGTGATCAACTCAAGTTTTAGACAAGTTGTGACAAACGCACATCAGTTCGAACAATTCATTTAAAAACATGTATTAGTTGAATATTAAATAGCGACGAGGAGCGAAAGAAAACACAAATATTCAATAAATAGTTAATTATTTTCGGCATTATTTTTTATGTCGCTTGGACCGTCTTTGATAGGATCTAATAAATCACCGCTTAACATTTTACGCTTTCGACTTTTAATCCCATGTTGCCCGTTAAAAAATCGTTTACATAGCAGTGTTAAAATTAAGTATCCCCTAGAACAGTGGTTCCCAAAGCGGTCCCTGGGATCATTCAGGGGGTCCTTGGAAAATTAAAATCGATTTTGGGGTCCCTGAACAACGCCAGGGGGGTCAAGGTTTAATATAAATTAATAGAATAGAACCATTTTCAAGCAGTCAGACTCAGAGGACAGATGCAGATGAATTACTACTAATGCATGAGCAACTTATTGAATTATCCACCAATAAGAAGCTGAAGTCACTGTTTAAACAAGAGCGAGAATGTCTGGCTACAAAAACAGATCCCAATTTTATATCCAATATTAAGGGTTACTGTACAGAAGCTTTTAAATCTTTTGTGTAGTTTTTTACCCAGAGCCCATAAGAAAGTTTTGATTATGAAAGGGGGTCCGTGGGACAAGTGTTCGGGAACCACTGCCCTAGAAAAAGGGCTACATGGAGGACTTACCATTCCTTTTCCTCTAGTGTTGATTGTAGACACATCAGTAATAATTGCCATGCTTATAGAAACATTTCCTTTGCTGATTCCCCCGAGGATGCGAGCCAATATAAAGAGTACAAGATTGTTCGACAAGGCCCATAGTACATATGAGAGGGAGATTCCCACCTTTAATCAAAACGTGGCTATGAAAATTAATGTTCATACATTGTCGGCTAATGTTAATCTTACCATACAAACAAGCATGACTATTTTTCGGCCGACAACATCGGATATGCCGCCAATGATGGGTGATGTGACGAATTGCAGAAAGCTAAACATCGACCCAAGAAAGCCTCCAAACAGTACCGAGTTAAACTTATCCGGAGCCCCGACCATTTTTTGGAAAAAGTAAACTTGGCGTGAAAGCCAGGAGTACAATCCTGTGGTGTCATTTTCCCTATAATGGTCTAGGAGCGATGGCAGCAAAGGTAATATCATTGTAAAGGCCAATAAATCTAATAAAAGGGATATAAAAACCACGTAAAACGTTCCGTGGACTTTTTCTTTGACCTCTTTCATGTTGGACGGATGTGACACTGCAGCAGACTTCTTGTTAACGTTAATATGTGAATCCAAACTGGTTAACTTTCTAATTATCGAGTATCTGCTCGGGACATTTTTGTTCATTCAAAAAAAAGATAAAATACTTGGCATTGTTCTATTGCCGAATTAAGCCGAATCATATATGAGCGCAGTTGGTCAAATAAAAATAATTAAGTATTTCAAACAACACATTGTTTTTAAAGAAAAATAAACATGTTTATGCGTGTTTCTTAGGTTATGTTATGACGTGTTATGACCTTGGACCACACGTTACATATTAGTACTGGGCTAAAGTAGCGGGAGAGAGACAGAAAAGGTAAATAAAATGAGCATTTTTTTAACTAAATATATTTGTGTGCATGCTTTATGTTATCACTTATGCATGTGTTTATTTGATATAAATTAACTAAAATTATAAATGGCTAAATTATATAGTAAATAGAATTAAAAAAGTAAATTTGGGAAAATTAGACCTTTCTAGACTAGTTTTTGGGTTTTTAGGCAGTGCGCAAGAAAACCATATCCATTTCATTTATATTTTTTTAAAATAAAAAAGTCTGAACGACGCCCTTTCGTTGAAATTTTTGGCAGTTTGGAACATACCCTGTTTATTATTGATTATATGTGCTTTGGCTCCATAATCAATAGGGATGTTTATTGATAAATCAATTTAATATTTCGTTTTTGGGATCGGCAAAGCCGATTTAAGGCATATGGCGACTATCGGGTTTCTATGCGTGTGAGCGGTGGTACATGAGGTGGAAAAGAGATGAGACTAGATAAAATTAGTGGAATGGGAGGAATCTGCAGCGCGTTGACATTCCATGGATCAACCAGACGAAACCAAAATTCCCTAAGAAGAAGAGTAATCATAACTTTGATGGTTCCCGATATTTTTGCATACAAATTTAAAGTTCGGATTAGTTGGTGAATTAAATCAGTGATTCGGTGAATTTGTTGTGAATAAAACCCGTGTGAATGTTCGTGGCAGTAATAAATAATGGGGAATCAGCTGAAATACGTTGAAAATTAGGACAAGGTTTATACCAAGCAGCCAATCTGTGAATTAAATAATGATAATGTTTGTGAATATTGTGTTTATTCTTCGAATTGTCGATTATTTGAAAGTGTGATTTGATGAAATTTTGATATATTTTTGCATTGGATCATCGTGAAACATGCCCACGTTAATAGGAGTTTCTGAATTTGTCGAGGAAACCAGAGATGACTACAATTCGCCTATTACATCAACATTTGTTTCGCGAATGCAACAATGTAGAAATACTATTACCACATTGGAAGAGGTAAGAATAGCTTTCCTAGGAAGGATGTAATAAATAACAAATGATTAGTTCATTTCCTTTTTCCTGGTTGTTCACTGTATCTAATCCTGTTGACAGTTTTGCAGCATTCGACATAGGCAATATTGACAAAAATGCCCCATAATTTACATAGGATTTGCATTCATAAGTTGTTTTTGATTTACCTCATTGTGCTTAAATTGAATAAATAACTGATAAATGAATTAGAGATTATAATCATTCTTGAATCAGTAAATACTCTCACCGACTTAAAACTTGTAACACTTATAATAATATAAACAATATTCCTGGGTTTCAATCATTTATTTCGATCACTGTTTATTCATCTTTCTTAAAAGTCGTTTCGGTGTTTTTCCACCATCATCAGTTTGTCTGAAACAACCAATTGTTAAAATATTACTTCCATACATATACATGAAATGTTATCTGCTAATCAATAATTGACCATTTTTTTTGCACCTTTCAACCCAAATCAAGTAGCAATTTGAAATTTTCTCCATGTTTAGAAGACACTTGATTTTAAAGATGCTGAAAGTTTCATAAAAATAGACCAGAATCCTGATTTTTGCGGTTTACTAAATATCGGTATCAAAATGGATTCATCCAACTGCGTTCACTCCAAAAAAATCACATTTTCCAAACGAAAACAACCAGCAAACATCGAATTTCCAGCATCTTAAAAAAACACTTGATTCTAAAGATGCTGAAAGTTTCATAAAAATCGTCTAGAATCCTGATTTTTGCGGGTTAAGGAATCAAGCAGCAATTTGAAATGTTCACCATCTTTAAGACACTTCGTTCTAAAGTCGCATAAAATATCTGACCAATTAAAAACGCCATCGGAAATAGGATGCACGAGACATGCTTTAGTCCAAAAGTTTTGACGGTTTTCAAAATGCAGTAGGCAAAGAGATTTTTTTCATAATTATTATTGTATGTTTATTTCCTGTAGGCCTGGGTAACAATGTACTGAGTTGTTGCCGCCCTCTGAGTTAACAAGTTATAACTTATCGGTTAATGAGTTATAATGCATTTATTAAAGATTTACGAGACCTGAGACTGGAATTTTTACATCTTAAAAAGGGCATCAACATTTTTTCTGAGTAACGTTCTACTATGTTCAAATAATTTAAAAAAGTTATCTAGATTTTCGCTGCAACAGAACTGAGTTCAAAGAAAGTCGACGAGTTTTCTTGTAATATCGATCTTTTAATTTTTTTACATAAAAGATTCAGTTTGCTGTTTAGAGACTTTTAGTTGTTTAGAAATATTGACCTAAAAGTGAAGAAACCCCAGTTTTAAAGAATTTTCCAGAAATAATTATTACTAAGCTATAAATTTATCTTGTAATTTTTCGCGTAAAAGTCCTCCACATCGTCAGTATTTTTAAGTGAAACTCTACAAAATAGAGCGTTTTTGAGTAGAAAGTGAAGCAAAAAAAATTCAGTCAAAACTAAAAAAACCCAATTTTTTAAACAAACTCTTATAGTCTTCAGAGGTATGGAGGTGATGACATTTCCAAATAATATGTTATAAACTTTCGATTATTCTGTTCGTTTTTTGATAGAAAATGGTTTTATTTTTGTTTTTGTAAATTGAGCGTTTAAAAGGGTCATTTTAAAAAAGTCATTTTAAAAATATTATTAATAAATGGCTCTTAAAATAAATCTAAAACAAGTAAAAAAAGTCATCAACATTTTCTCTATTTCTCTATATTTAAACTTGCATGCGTGTATACTAGAATTTAAATGAAATTATGTTAAGTATGTTTTAAAGCAAAGAAATATCTCCATCATTTCCAGACTCTTGATTACGACAGAGATGGGTTAAACAAAATGAAAAAAGCTGTTAAAGCGATTCACACATCGGGAATTTGTAAGTACACAAGTTGCTGTTCAAGAAAATAGTTGATTTTGACAAATAATTTTTTTTAAGGCCATGTTGATAACGAGTCATGTCTAGTCAAAGCCCTAGAAAAAATAGGCCAGAATGCAATTACAAAAGAACATGAAGAAACTATAGGCAATGCATTTATTAAGTTTGCCGTTGTAACGCAAGAACTGTCTGCCCTTATGAAGACTTTAATGCAGAATTTGAACAATATCGTAATGTTCCCCTTGGACAGTTTGTTGAAAGGGGATTTGCGCGGAGTAAAAGGGGATCTGAAAAGACCCTTTGATAAAGCTTGGAAGGACTATGAGAGCAAGTATGCTAAAATTGAGAAAGAGAAGAAGCAACAAGCGAAGGAAGTTGGATTAATCCGATCAGAAATTACTGCTGCGGAAATAGCTGATGAGATGGAAAAAGAGCGACGTCTCTTCCAGCTGCAGATGTGCGAAGTAAGTGGCTGAAGGCTTTAAATAAAAATAATTCTTGCCCATTATCGTCTAAAATTAGTAAATAACGCTAATTTGGAAAATATAATAATTAATATTGGGGAATAATTAATTTTTAATGTTGAATTTTCCAATATCACCTCATTTATTGCCCCAGCAACTTCTGTCTGAACACATAACTAATAAATAAATAATTAGTAAGTCAAGGCTCGTATGCATGCGGTCTTACAGGTTTCCTTTAATTAAACTGTTCGAAATCCCTTCACAATTGCGCCAATCTAAATCAATAATGTACGCAAAAACTTACAAAACATTTAATCTTTTGGCTCAAGTCCAATCGTTGAAATACTGTTTTATTTCGGGATTTTACTGCTTTTTTTTTTATCGACATTGAATTGAAACATGAACGTGCATAATACATAAAACTTATTCACGGACATATTTATCTTTAGGATGACTATATCAGTTTTCTATATACTGTTATAAGGACGAACATATGTAAGCAACCAAATTTGCATTGCAAAAAGATTTGCGCTGTGATTTGAATTTTCAAGTAGTCAATACGCATCATGCAACCAAAAACGAAAAACCCAGCGAATTGAATGTTGAATTTTAAATAAACCATCAATAAAACGGGACACAGCATATATATTTCACATTGTTTTAATTTGATGCGGTTGGAAAATAACCTACGTGGATTTTCACTTTTTTTTAAATATCTGTAGATTGTTGAATTACTTTTCCATTTAATATGCTTATTTTTTCTGTGAAATTAGGAAAAAACGGTGTAAATTAGAAATGTTGATTGAACGAAAATTTGGTTACCCAATTTCATTACCTCATTGCTACTCGTATTGTCGTGAATCACCAATTTTACGGAATCCTGACTTCTGATTGCGACAGACCGTAAATCCGGAGGCCGTAAACAAGTTCCGAGCTTGTTGCATTTGAAGGATGAATTCGGTTTAGCAACAATCACGGTTTGTTAGCTTGGATTGGGTTGTTAAATTAAATTAGGCGTTGCTCTATGGTTTTATTTATTTATCCGAAAACAGGTTATTTTCGTGTTTCTAATGGGAATGCTATGCCAATTATTGTAATTTAATTAAATTGTTGGTAATCAAGCATTGTTGGTAATTAAATGTTTATAGGCAGTTCATAAGAAAATCCCATACATGTTTGGAAACGAAAACTGACATAATTTTTGTTACAGTATCTCATTAAATATAATGAAATCAAAACCAAGAAGGGAATAGACTTACTTCAAAGTCTTGTGGAATATTATCATGCTCAAACCAAGTAAGTAAATGCCATTAAATTGTGTGATTTAACCACATTGTTGAAATCTTGTTGCCTATACCCATTACCTACATCAAAGTGGTATCCTGCACGATTGCACTAATAATCGGGGGGCTCTTACGGCAGTAAATTGTTCCTACTGTTAAATTCCACAATATTTTTTATTAAGAAATAATCCTCATCTGCTGTGAATCATGGCTATTATCCCGCATAGTATGAATTTTTATGTTATTTGACTTCGTGATTAATATTTACTTTGTACATCTTGGGAACCCGATTTGCTATGTTCAATATGTATTTTAGCTACTTTCAAGACGGTCTAAAGACAATAGAACATTTTGGAAATTATGTCGCAGATTTAAGTATAAAATTGCAGAAAATCAAACAGGCTCAAGACGAAGAAAAGCGAAAGTTGACCGATTTGAGAAATCTCATTAAGTCTACTCCGAATTTGGACAAAGGAGATGTAAGCACAAAAACTATTCAGCGATCGACGCAAGTAATCTGTTAACTTATTAAGCGCGCACAATTATCTAAATCTAATTCGTTTAACGAAAATTGCGCGTTAGCAAATTATTTGCTTCGATCTGTGGATACATTGCACCAACAGCTTCTCTAATAAAATTTTTTCCTTTAGCCATGCTCTCAATTAGACAAAGGAGCTGCAGGCTACTCACTGCATCAATTGCAAGGCGATAAGCATCATGGGGTTACCAGAACGGGGCATTTACTGAAAAAGTCTGAAGGAAAAATGAGGAGAGTTTGGCAAAAAAGAAAATGCAGAGTACAAGCCGAAGGCTACTTAGAGATCTGCCATGCCGATGAAACCAAACCTCCTACAAGAGTGAATCTACTGACGTGTCAAATAAAAATTGTCCCAGATGATAAGAGAGGATTTGATTTGATATCCTGTAAGTTTCGTGAACACTTTGAGGCTATTGCCTTTTTATCTTTGCCCTTTTAGACAATAGAACGTACCATTTTCAAGCGGAAGACGAAGCTGATCAGCGAGCATGGATGTCAGTATTAATAAACTGCAAAGAGATGGCCCTAATGAAGGCTTTTGACGACAGTGGAAAAACCGGAAGGGATAAAGTGAATAGTTTTAGGGAACTGCAACAGGCCATCATCAAGTACATACAAAAGATACCTGGAAATGATACATGCTGTGATTGTAATTCGCAAAATGGTAGAAATTATTTAGTAAGTCACAGCCTAAAGAAATTATTTGGTTTTTTTCTAGATGCAACCTGGCTTTCGACGAACTTTGGCATTATAGTTTGCATAGAATGTTCAGGAATTCACAGAGATTTAGGTGTACATATTTCTCGGATTCAGTCTCTAACTTTAGATAATGTGGGAACTAGTCAGTTAGTATTAGCTAGATTTATGACGAATCATATGTTCAATGACATTATGGAAGCCCGCTTATCACCAAACGATAAACCAGATCCTTCTAGCTCAATGTCAGTAAAAAATTTTGAATTTTTTTGGGTAATCACTTGATTACTTTTCATGATTTCAGGGAGGAACGACTTGGTTTTATTCGGGCGAAGTATGTGGAAAAACGGTTTGCCATGACAACGTGCTCCTCTGAAAGGGAAAAGCTATTCGAGCTTGAAGAAGCTGTTAATCGAAGCGACTTGGGCTTGTTGCTGCAAGTGTTTGCAGAAAACGTTGATTTGGGGGCCTGCTTACCATCATCCGTAAGTTTTGACGCTGGTATAAATAATTAAACTATTTTCTTTAAGATTTAGCGAGTTTGGCGCCAGGCCGATTTTTATGTGCGTTTATAGTTTATAGCTCACATTGTCGAAAAGCCTTCTATTCACCGGCGTTTTTTGATAATGCAGCTATACAAGGTGTTTAGGGAGTACACAAATAATAGCTAAAAAATATTTTATATAAAAAACTGGGATATTTGCAAAAAATAGATAAGAAGGTCGTTAACGATATTCAGTCATTTGCTTCATTAGTATTACGTGCATTCCTGTTGCTCCTTAAATTTAAAAATGCTCAAGTAATTGGTGTGTATTTTGTGAAAGAAACTTACCTGTTACTGAACCTGTAACTACCTGTTAATGAGAAAAACAAACCGCTTTGGATTTCATAAAAAAATTGTTAAAGTATTTTTGACTATAAAAAAATCATGATTTGAAGCAAAGATAGCAATTTTCTTTACGAATGCATAGGTATTCCAATAGGCTAGCTACCAGTCAAAGATGAGAAAAAAATTCAATATTTGTCTTATATTCTCCAAGTGAGCCTTAAAAGGATTAACGCCAGTTTTGATTGTCCTTGTATGATTGCGCATAGTGGATAGATTTGGTTCAGTGACTGAAGCATACATTTAATAATTTGCAATTTTCTAGAAATGTGGTGAAACAGCTTTGCACCGAGCCATAATAAACGAATCGGGTAGATCCCTTCACATTGTGGACTTTCTGATTCAGAATATGTCGAACGCAGCTTTGGATAAAGTCACGCATCCATCGCCTATCCCGGAAATTAGCGGCTGTGATACCGCGTTGCATTTATGCGCTTTGTATGATAAAGTTGAATGTATGAAATTACTGCTGCGCAGCGGTGCTGATGCAAATATACGAAACTCGCATAATAAAACACCAATGGATATAGCGCAGGAATTCGGGAATCCAACTTGTCAAGAGCTGGTAAGGATGCATTTTATTGATAAAAGTTTTCTTGCGTAACTGACTAATCTGTGTTATTGCCCGGTAGTTGCAAAATGCTGCTAATAGACTGAAGAATTACTTCGATAACATCAATATAGACTGGAATTTATCGCACGACGATGGATCTACTGATTTTTCTGATGATGAAACGATCATTGAGGATCGAGTGAGTGTTCTCTTGGCTAGTAGGGCTAGACCCTAAGCGTGACTTGATATATTCTTGTATACTTTCCAGAATGGGTCTCTAACTCCCGAGAAGAAAAACAGGTCTCGACCACCGAGTTACTCAGGTAATTTTTCCTTAGTGTTATACCTCTAAGTCATAAATAACGGTCGTTCATTATTCATTGTGTATTTGTAACTAACCATTTTCACCTAGCTCCCAGTGTTCATGGTAGCATCAAAAAGAGGGTAGCTCCTTTGCCGCCTCCCACGAATTCGGGGCAGTACGGTACTCTCCCCAGTAGTCACAGTAGAACTCCTTCAGATCCTATAGCCGCAGGATATCATACATTAAATCACACTCACAGACGTTCTCCAAGTAGCGATTCGAGTTCGAGCAGATCTGTGATACCCATTGGTAATAATATTGAAATGTAACAATTGCGGCTTAGAGCAATGTTTTATTCCTTTCAGGAAGCAAGCTAGTCATGCCGGATTGTAAAAATATAGATAAAATGGCAATGTTGCGGAGGCCGCAGAATCCTCCACCTCCCGCACCTTTGAACCGACTTTCAAATGGCCGATCTAACGAAAGCATTTCTTCAATGGCTTCAGATCTAGACGTATCTGGAATGAGCCATAATCCAATTCCGCCGCCCCGCAGGGTAAGTTCGATTCAACCGCTGTAGAATTATCAATATTCGAATGTTTTTGTTTGTGAAAGTTTGCTGATTTTGTTAGTATTGTGTTCGTATTTCTAAATCTAATTGAAATTAAATTTACTCATTTAGTCAGTCGGTTATTATTGTTTCTATTTTTCAAGAACAACTGCAGTTTCCTATTAGTCCCTAATTTTACATGGCTAAACTTTGATCAAAACCGCGCGCAGTTTTCATAAGCAACAACTAAGCAAGCATTTTATTAGTAAAATATTTGAGTTGACTTGGTTTGCAGAGACGGAAATGCCGTGTGGAAAGTTTTACTGAAGAGAATGATTCTAGTCTGGTAAACAAGCATTTTGAGTTTGAATGCTATCTAACTGCACCTGTTCTTGACCATTAAATTGTCTAATTCACTTCAGCTTAAACATACAAATTTTGAAAATAGTGAATTGCAATTTTATTATGGTCTTGCTGTTTAAACGTTGTCGCATGCTGGGTGGAGTTTGTTCAGTGTTCGCCATGTTCTTAACGAACCCGCTTTATTAATGTTTTTGCAAAAGGAAAACATGCGAAAATTAAAAACCCTATTAGACCAAAATATGGATTTCAAGAGACCTGATTTATATAATTTAAGGAACGGTTTGCTTTGTGTGTTGTTCTATCAGCGGGTTTACTGATTTGGATTTTTTTGCAAAATCCACATGAAAGTTACGAAATTTCACTCTAGAGTTTGCTGTATTTGTTTGTCCGCCTAGTTTTTCCACGTTCTGTATATGTAAAATTGCGTGCACAAAACTTTATAAAAGAAAACGCGTTTACTCAACGCAAAACTTTTTAATAATCGTGTGTACGGTATCCGTTTTGTTACCTAGTTTACTCATATTTGAATCATTCATTGTTATAACGAGGTGGATCTCACTTTAACCCATTTCATTATGTATATGCAAAAATATATTCGGACAGTTTAAAACGGCAATTTTATTAGACCTATCTTCTATTCTATTGAAGCGAAAAATTGTGTTGTGCAGTATTGCTTCCGTACCAACAGAAGACAATTATAGTTTTTGTTGCTTAACCGCACTCTCTCTGAAGCCGTTTTTCTTTGCTCATCAGCTCCGTTTAAAGGCACTGTATACACGCTCTTGAAATTGATGTTTTAATTACTGTCCAATACAATTTTGATCCATCAGTAATCTTGAAAATTAGCCCATTTTTAATCATAATTAAATTTTTGGTTTTAAAGGCATCCGACTCTCCGCCACAAAGAGTGTCATCTAGTCCGATATCAACAGTATGTTCACCTCGTTCGGTGCCCCCTGGTCGTTTATCATACACTTCAAATGGAGGAGCAGGTTTGAGAAGGTGTAAAGCGTTGTATGATTGCGCTGCTGATAATGAAGACGAACTATCTTTCCAAGAAGGAGAAATAATTATCGTTGTGAATGAGCAGACAGATGACGATAATTGGATGGAGGGAGTACTTGAAAATGAGCCTGATAAAAGCGGTATGTTTCCCATAAGTTTTGTTCATATGCTACCTGATTAATGACCGCTAAGCGCACAGCTTGGATGTAAATATTAAGAAGTTCAAACGTATATTTTTGTGTCATGTGATCTACGAACACGTAGGAAGCTCAGAAGCTATAGTTCTGCTGTTAGTTGTTTGTCTAGTTCTAATCCGTCAGAAATTATACGTGTGTTTGCTCATTGTCTATTAAATACTGATTAAATTTTGCTGAAAAAAATGAATGCGTTTAAACAAAGCTAATGTAAATGTCAGCACTGTTAATTCACCACACATATAACCGTTAACTTCTTAATTCTTATGCCAACCTTCTTTAAAACAAAGTATTTTCTTCATTAAATTAAATCCTAATCGGCTTAGTACTTTGGGACGAATTATTGTCCTTGCATTAAGGAGTTGTTCTGTATCATATATACTATTATTGTCTCCTGGCGGAAAATATAGCAGTGTAGCTATAGTAAAAATAATATATGTAAAAATGTAATTACTTACTTCGTTTTTTTTACTTTACTTTTTCATTATTTATTAACTTACGTGTACGTCAAGGGAAAAACCAGCGCATCTATAAAACTCATAAAGTATGAGGCATTTTTCAGTTCTTAAAACTCAACGGGCAGTTTGATGTAGAATTCAAAAGCTGATGTTTTGTGTGATTTTTTATATTCAAGTAAAGATATATTCTTGTACACGGTGGTTTAAGTGTGAGACTTTTCAATTGTAACTTCAAACAAAAGATGCGTAACAAGTCATTTGTAGTATTTGATTTTTCATCGAAGGTTATATCTTTATTCGGATCATGTTATTTTATTGCCATATAGTTGAATTGTGAAAGTATTACTGTACCGAAATAACGTATATTGATAGTTTACTGTGTCTTTTACCATGAATACACGTTATTTTTGTAGAAAAGCATTATTATAGATTCATTGTGAAATATTTTAAAACCAAAGATAATAGGAAAGCTATCTGACCAGTTTTCTTTAATTGCTTATTGTAAAAACTGAAATAAAATTATAATACCTATATCTGACTGGTTTACATGCTGTTTTATTTCTCAATAAATCCCACATTTATTTTTTTTTGATCCGTGAACATCAGAAACGTTATCAAGGTAAGTATATTAAGCTGTAGAAGTTGTCCAAAAAGTGTGGAAACGTTTGAATATCTCGAAAAATACAACATGGAGCGCAATTAAAAATACGCTCATTTACAAGAAGCAATCAAGTGATCAAAATATATCTTAAATATAAATCCCCAGTTTTGTTATAAATTCGCGTTCTGCTAAAAAAAACTATGTAACTTATGTGAAACTTTTTTCCATTTTTTTAGGCGGCGGTTCGAATAATTTATTTTCGTTTCTTTACACGAACTTCACGCGAGCCTCTTCGCTTCGCCGCAACAGCTGTGCTTCATTCACGTTGCTGGAGTTTACCAATTTGAACATTTAATTTCACCTGAGTCAAAAAATCGCGATGATGCGATGTGATGATTTTACTGTTTTACCTAAAAAACTACGTAGCGTTTATTTAGAACCACTTTCGATTCCTGTTGCAATTATGGTCGGATTGCGATGGAAACTTACTTTTTTTGGTTCTAAACAAGCACTTAGACTAGAAATACTCAGTACAAAATATCAAATGTAAAAGAAATTCAATATACGAAATAGCAAGTGCTTAGAGCACAAAAAGCAACTTTTCGCCCCGAATTGCAAAAGTAATCGAAACAGTGTTTAAATGAAAGTTACGTAGATGTGTAGAATGCGAATCTGCACAAAAATTTAAAGTTTCATTTGATAGCAATTTCCAAATTGTCACAGACGGGTTTTTATAAAGTCCGCTCTAAAGCGTATTTTTTAAGATATTCAAGCGTTTCCACTTTTTGGACACCTTGCGGCTCAATGTTTAGATTCTAAGCTAAGAATTAATTAAGCATTTTTAATCCGAAATTATATACATATGTGTATTCATAAACAAATGTAAATTTGGTAATAATCGACAATCGAAGTTGTTGAACAAAATGTGTTTGGATGAATTCAATGTATGTAAGAAAAACCCTTCGAAAATTCACTTAACTAATTTAAGTTTATTTGCAATTGTCCGGATGGAAAATCCGTAAGTACATTAATGTATGGCATGGAATGTGAAGACAACGCTAATGTTAGGAAGACAGAATAATTATCATCTAAAACATTGTGTTTAAATTAATACAATTAGTCTACAAGCAATAGCTTGAAAATATAAACAATATAGTGGAACGATAAGGAATTATGCCTTGATTAAGGAGACTTCAATATGTACGTCTTTCCAACTACATATCGACATGTTATTGGTCAATTATATTGAACATAAACGTGTAGTTAATCTGGATGATTTGGTTAAAAAGACATAAGACGGGTGTTTTCTCAATTTGGATGGTTGCTATATTAGATTATTTAATCGTTTCCGGTAAGATTTACATATTGAGAAATACACTAGTTGACCTATGACATGTCGATATAGAGAATAATTGATGGTTTCAACTTGTTACGAATATTGCTATACCCTTAAAGCTGCTTATGAAATACACCACAGTTAAAACAGACTTTTTATAACATATTATTTTTATTAGTAATAATAGATTGGGTTCAGTTATAGCAACTGCCTTTTTTTCGTGAAAAAACTAATTACCAAAGTTGTGTACTGTGGGAGTAGCTGCAAATTCATAACGGTTCATTTTGGGCGTTTTTGGTCCAGATAGATCTTCAGATAGAGGTCTATAGATAGATCCACTATGTTTCTTTTCGGTTAGTTGCGTGCTCCACAATGGGATCTTCAGTCTTGGCAAATTCGCTCTGTGCATGTTGAAATTGTTATTGCGTCGCAAAACGCATAATGTTATTACGACCGACATAATAAGAACCGCTAAAGCCGTTAAGACGAAAACGGAGGTAATAGAAAGAATATAAGAAACTCGAGCCAAGTTAATATTTTCGCCGTCGATTATTTCTGCTGTAGGAGCATCGTCCAGGAGATCGTCAATGGAGACGTCGTCATTATCCGCCTCATCGTCATAATTGTCCTCCTCTTCTTCGTCGTCATCATCATCTTCATCCTCATCATCATCGTCATCAATAGCACTATCATCGGCCTCGCCTTTAAAAGCGCTTAATTTTTGCAGATCCTGCAAGGTTTCATCTATATTATCAAGGTCTTCCTCAGAATCCACACCCTCGTCAATATTAAATGTCATCTCCGGACAAATCCCCTTATGCAGGTCTAACCAGCCATTTGGAGTGAAATTGTCAATATCGTCCATCAAAGGAGTATCAGCAATCTTTTCGGAATTATCAACTAGATTTACAAAGCGAGCATCCAAGTAATTAATAACATTGCACATCTGGTTATCAAAAACGAAAAGATTGTCGTGCAAATCAATAATTGATAATTGTGGCACAACTTTCATGTCCTCGATGCTTAATGATGTTAGTTGATTTTCGCCTAAGTAAAGCCGCTTTACTGATTCCAAAATAGTCGCATTGTTGCTCCAGAGGGTATACAGTTTGCAATTTCTGGCGTCAATTTTATTAATAGCCTTGTTATTAATAAAGTTGCCAGGATTCAATGTCATCAATGGATTTCCCGCAATATTGAGAGTTTCTAAATTCCTGTTGCTATTAAAGGCCCCAGTTAGAACTTTAAGCTTATTGTAGGACACATCTAACAATCGCAAGCTACTGATATAGATCAGCATGTCGTCAATGAATGTAAAATTGTTGTACGATAAATTCAAGCTTACAATTGTCGGCATATGTTTAAATGTTTCGGGATGTCCCGTTGTGAGTCCGCAGTTTTTGCAAGAAAAGATGTAAGTTTCAAATTGATGATTATTGGACAAGGTGAAGTTTGGAAGGACTTCAAAAGCGTTGTCATCAAGAATAATTTTTCGCAACTTGAAGTTGAAACTGAAGATTTCATTCTCAAGTTTTGTCAAGTTATTCTTGGAGAGGTCCAGCACTGAAAGTTCACTCATAAATGCCAAATGGTTGGGCTGCAGGTTGCTAATTCTGTTGTTGCTTAAATTTAGTTCACTCAATGAAGTCAAGCGGCTGCTGGATCGTTCGTCGAACGTACTGAGGAAGCAATTCTTTAACGATAAACTTTCCAGGCTGTTGGAGGTATTCAAGTAGAAAGTTTTAAGAGGGTTGTTGTCCAAGTATAAGCTGTCCAATTCTCCATTGTTTACGAAAACATTGGCTGGCACTCTGCTGATCTGGTTGTCCGTTAAATATAGAGTTTCCAACGAGAATAATTGACTGAATGCAGTGATTCCAATGTCCCGGATATAATTGCCAGACAAGTTTAACAACCGCAACTCATACAGTTTATCTAAAGCTGGTATTTCGTCCAGTCTGCAGTTTCCAAAATGCAGCTCTTCTAATTTTTCTGATGAAAGATTAGGGCTATCTTCAAAACCACAATCGGCGACTTTAAGATACTTCACATTGTTAAAAGCTTTCTCATCAATTGAACCAATTTGAGAATTTTCAATCACCACATTTTCCAAATACGGCATGCTGGTGAACGCATCTTCTTTGATTTCACTGATGATGACATTGGAAAGGGTCAAAACGGCGACGGCGTTCCGGTCCAGGGTACGGAATAATTCAGAATTAAGTACGAGCGAACCATTGCAGGATATCACATTCACAACGTTGGGCAGGATATTTTTGCATTCACAGTTCTGAATGCAATTTGTCGGCCTGGTCGGTGGCAATGCCAGTGCCACCGAGAGAACGTTTAAAAGTAATAGAATCCTCATTTATCTGAAACAAAAATGAAACATTTCATCAAATTCTAATCAAACTATTTCAAAAATCAGGCTCAAGGCATTGATATAATGAGTTTGCCGTCATGAAAACAAAGTGGTTGTAATTCGCTTTAACGATGATTGTAAACTTAGACTCTACACTTGACATTGATTGAATTCTTGACTAAGTGCTTAAACATGTGTGATTACACGTTCCAACTTCTTTTGATTTAATCTGGCTCACTAAGGAGTTGTGATTATAACAATTTAGACGATGAGCCCTAGAAGTAGGGGTGGGACATCGATGGTAGCCACCGAATGGTAATATCGATGTTCTGATAGTTTGTCGTCGTTGCATATAAATTTCAAATTGATTAACTTGAACAATTTTATTTTACTAGTACTATGAGATTTTAAAACAATGTATTGTTAAATAATCGACTAAATTTAGTCAACTGACTGCAAAAAGAGGCTTTTTTCGGGTGCAGCTGGAAATGCCGCGCTATCGCTTGTAGCGGCACTATCAAAGAGTGCGCAGAAAATGTTTCTATCTGCTATCAACATCAAATGTCCGATGCTTTCATTTCAGGATCTTACATCGATGTTTTATCGATGTCCCAAATTTCCAACATCGATGGTCAAAATATCGAACATCGAACGAATTACATCGATGTTTGCGAAACATCGATGTAATTTTTTAATGTTTTTCTCCCATCCGTACCCAGAAGTGAACTCAAAAAAACTCATTTGTGCAAACCGTTCAGTTGGAAAAAAACTCGCACCCGTCAATTTTATTTGTAAATGCGGTTTTTTCTGCCAAATTAATTTATACAGAATGGTTCAAAAATAACTTACAACCATAAACTTCATTTTTTCAAATGGAACCACCTGCTGTTGTATTTTTTGTGCCAAACATTGGTCTAGAAGTTTCAAGATTTAACGAAAAATGAGAAAATTCAAGAATTGGTTGAACTACAAAGCTCTAGTTTTCCTTGCGAGATGTGAGCCACAGAATTCGTTTTGGCATCGTTGGATAGATAATTAAAAATTCGATTCAGTCATAACATGTGTGAGGAAATTTGGGCAGTTTTGACCCAGAAAGCGAAATTTTAATATCAAACGCTTAGGTGCAAGATTATGCCAACATTTCATGTTTTCCGTCCCGTTTTTGCCCATTTCTCGAAAGCAAAATGAACAAAAACGTTCGTTTCAACATCATTCCAGAGAGAAATAAATGGCCTTTTTAGAAAGCGAACCATCGATCAGGAAATGTTGGTTTCCAAAAAAGTCTTGATTTGAAGAAGTTTAAGATTTGCGTGTTTTTTGAGTTGTAAAATCGACTCAATCATGACGCAGCCTTTTTCAAAGTTTCTCAAGAACCTTTTGAGCCACAGAATTCGTTTCGGCATCCTTGGATAGAGAATTAGAAATTTGATTCAGTCATTACATGTTTGAGGAAATTCGGGCAGTTTTGATCTAGAAAGTCAAATTTTAATATCAGGCGCATTCTCACGTCATCCCAGAGAGAACTAAATGGCCTTTTTAGAAAGTGAACCATTGATAAGAAAAATTTGGCAGTTTTCTCAAAAAAGTTTTGATTTAAAATAAATATATAAAATAAAACAAACGATCCAATTTTAAAGGAATTTTAAAACTAATGATTTTTTCTTTTGATATCGTTTATTTTAGTAAAATAAAAGTAATAATAAAGTTCACTTTTGATGCGTTCCCATATTCAATTCTATTTAAAAAATCATACTTTTTTATACCATACCATTTTGGGACCACCCTGTATAAATACATTTTATTGAAAAAATCGCATTTACAAATAAAAATTGACGAATCCCAGCTTGTTTTCCAAAAAAGGCCCCTGAATTTTAAATAAATTCAGGCATTATTTCTGGGACTAATTTATGCATTTGTGTGATTTAAAAAGGCATGTGAGCATACTTTGGAACGCACGGGAAAAAATGTTGGGCATATGAGAAGAAAAGTGAGCAGTTCACTTGAAATATTGTTGATAATTTTGAACTTCGCTCGACAACAAAGCAATTTTTCAAACATTGAACTGCAATGATTAATTATTAGCAAAAATAATTGCTGAACAAATTTTAATTAACATATTATCTCCTAATCAGGCCCCAATTAACTTAAGCATTCCGTTTAAGAGCTTATCCTCAGCTAGGATCACGTACATAGATAAACTCGATTTTATCACTCATAAGAGGAAAGCGATAATGTGAAGCAATAGAGGAGCAGAGAACAAAGAGCGTTGCACTTTCAAACAGTTTTATCTAAAAATTGCGAGGCAACAAAGCGAAGTTAAAATGCAGTGATTTCACTGCATTAATCCGCTTTGAAGATAACGTTAGTTGAATACTTCGTTTAGAATTTTTATCGCCGTCATTTGAGCAACAATCAAAATTTTTCGCTTTCAGCCGATATGAAGTTTGAACAATTCAAGCTGAATAATGCCCATTTACTTTGCATGGTTGAAGCTAATCACATGAATTAATTTTAATTCCGAAACTCAGTTCGACATACAAAAGCAATAATTGTTACTAGTTACCGTTTGCTATGCGTCAATAACAAATTGAATGCCATTGTTCTATGTCGTCATCTCCTGTAAGCGTTTTTCAAATTACTTTACGCTATGGGTTTTCGAGTCATCCAAATATATCTACCTCACGTTCAACGTTCAATAATAGTCTAGTAATAGAAGAAATCAATATCGGGTTTTTTTGGGTTCATTTACATATTCTCGATAATTTTCAACGCAGTTACTCACTTTGTTTTAAAGGAAATTATTTAGTAAAGCGGTCTCTTATCTTTAAGGCAAACACTTTTATCTGCTAAAGAGAATTGTTTTCGGAAGTTGCTATAAATACGTTCGAGGATTTTTGCAAAGGATATTTCAGCACATAATGGTGTCACAACAGCCTAAAGAGGTTGCATTGTTAATTTCCCCGTTCAAATATACATAGCTAAAATATAACACAGCATTGTAGTATAATAGAAAAATTGAGCTTTAAGATTGCAGTGGATTAAAAATTATTCATTCGTTTCTCAAGCACAATGGGTTGATTCGTTCAAATTCGGACTTCGATCGTCTTACAAAGATGTTTTTAGCACAACGTTTCGGTTGGCAGCATCTCCAAGCATTTTCAGGCGAACGCTATAAAAACATAAGACTATGGAAGTCTCAATAAACCATTCAGCCTCGATGGTCCAGTGTAAGTTTTGGATCACTTTTTTCATTAGCAGCATTAATTAAACCAATTTTTTTCTAAAATAGTGATGAAGTTATAGAAAACGAGCGCGTGAATTCACAAAAACAACACCGCTTGATGCCGGCGATGATAGCGATTGTTAATGTCATGAATGAAAAAGAGAATAAAAACCATTAACTGTTGGCGAAAGAAGGCAAATTTAGCAAGTTGGTCTTTCAATCTTTCAACACAATACACATACCTACATTTTTTTGCCGCTCAAAACTTGCTTGGTTCTATGAAGATTTTGAATAGCCTAATAAGTACTACACAACTTATTGTATACAGGGTGTTCAAATGAACACGGGGTCAAAAATGCTTCGGTTCCAATCTACAGAATGTTAAAGTTTACAACATTTTACGGTTTAATTTTTTTTATTTCCAAACAATACAAAATGGTCTAGCCATAGTTCGTATATGTACGACATATTTGCTCTATTTACAGGCCATTAAAAGCAAAAATTTGAAATCGAGTAAGTAAGTTGTTCAACAGTTTTTGAAAAATTCAAGGAAAAAGAAAAAATTCCTGAATGCGGCCCATAACTTCACTCGAAAGAGAAAATCGGCTGCATTAAATGAGAAAAAACTCACTTGAATAAGAAATTTCTGGGAGTTTCCACGATGTTTTTCGTTACTACGGGGAACCGATTGGCCGATGGTACAGATGGATTTCAAAAAATTATTAAGGAAAAAGCAAAATCTCTCAAGCCTGCCATGAGAATATCACTCGAAAAAAGGAAAATCTTCGGCTTTTAATGAGGAAAACCTCACTTTGATAGGACATTTTTGGGAATTTTCAGAATTTTTTCAGATACTGCATCGAAGCGATTGGTCGTTAGACAGCACGGATTTTTGAAAAATTTGCCAAAGAAAAACTAAAAATTCCTGAATGCGGCCCATAACAACACTCGAAAGAGAAAATCGGCTGCTTTAAATGAGAAAATACTCACTTGAATAAGAAATTTCTGGGAGTTTCCACGATGTTTTCAGTTACTAAGAAGAAGCGATTGGTTTTTGGTATCGAAAGACGGATTTAAAAAAATATATATTAAATAAAAATAAAAAATCTCTTAAACCTGTCCAGAAAATCACTCGAAAGAAAACATCTGCGGCTTTAGATGACAAAAACCTCACTTTAATAGGAAAATTCTGGGAGTATTCAGGATTTTTAAGATACTAAATCGAAGCGATTGGTCGTTGAACACGGATTTTTCAAAAATTTGTACAAAAAAAACACAAAATTCCTGAATGCGGCTCATAACATCACTCGAAAGAGAAAATCGGTTGCTTTAAGTGAGGAAAAATTCACTAGATTAGAAAATTTCTGGGAGTTTCCAGGGTGTTTTCAGTTACTAAGGGGAAGCGATTGGCCTTTGGTAGGTATAGATAGACGGATTTAAAAAAAAATTGTCAAGGAAAAAAGCAAAAATATCACTCGAAAGAGAAAATGTGCGGCTTATCTAAATCTATATAAGCATAAGCAAAAATAAGCATTTTTGACATCATCCACATGTAAACTTGTTCTCATCAAAACAGCTCAGAAAAACGCTCGTAAAATGTTTGTACTGAATCAGGAAACACCCTGTATATTAGTTCATGTTAAGAGTCAAACTTGAATTACTTAATACATCGGCGCATCCCTAGTTTAATATTGAATTTAAAGAATAATTAATTTATTCAAGTAGATGTACCGGGTGATCCGAAATCAAGTTATATATTTTCAACTGCAGCAAGAAATTGTGCAAGGAAAATAAAACAAGAAGTTCAAATAATCATAGGTCCACAACCGCCTCTTTTGTGTGATAAATTCATGTTAATTTGATTCTTGTTCATGGCTGTTTTTGCAATTGCTTGTCTTATTATAAGTTCCCCTTTTCACGGGTGTTGGTTTATATCCAATCCTAGCTCACATTGTCGAATAACTGGAAAACGATTGCAGATACGAAAACAACCCAAAATGTGAAAAAACTTCCAAATTGACTAAGTAATCCACACACGCAAAAAGAAAATATCGGCGACGATACAAAAGAGATTTGGCGAGTTAAAGTGACGCGGGACCTAGAAAAATCACCCATACATATTTCCATAACTATAAATGCCAGACAGGCGCTGATATAATCGAAAGAGGATGATCTGGAGAAAGAACACACACATTGAAAAAATAAAATAAAAAATGCAGATCAAGAAAACACGAAAACATTTTAATACCTTGAACTTTTCGCGGTAGTTTTGCTCGTAGAATGATGCAACCTAATTTCGGATCACCCCTACCTTGGAAATAATAAACTAACAGAAAAAAGTTAATGATAATGTGGTTGATTAAAAACCAAACCTTGGGTGCAATTTTTTCTCAATTTGATCAGTTATTTTTGAATATTTTACTTTACCGTTCACCATGAAAACAAAATCATTCGTGGTTGCGGTCTAATGGCAAATTTTACGCTTTTGTGAATACACGTGCTGGCCAGTAAAAAAAATCGCCAACAACATACGACATTAAAACTCTTTTCACAGCTTACTATCGGTTAAGATTATTAAATCAAAATAATTAGTGTTATGCCTGAATTTGTCAATTAAAATTAAAAGCTAATACCGTACATTGTGCAATTGTCTCACATGTTACAAGTACTGGTTTAAAAGTTTTAATTAGTACTTAAGCACTACTAAAAACGCAGGTACTACTACAGGTATTCCACTTAGTATTGGTTAATTTGAAAATTTGTTAGTTTCACAGATTTTGATTTTTCTCGTAATCGAACATTTCTACTAAAAGCAACATTGCTTACGACCTTTCAGGCTGTCGTTAGGAAAAAAATATTTCAGGCGTTTCCCAAGCATGAGTGATGTGCAGCTTCAGAGGTGGTTTGCTGAAAAATTTACTCTGGACTCTGGGCCATCCAGCTCAGGAATAAACCATTCAAAGACTATTTGTGAATGTCGAGATTGAATGGTTTATTTGGACTTCCATTGTCTTGTAAAGATGTTTTTATCACAGCGTTTTGGTTGCTCGTATCTCCAGCCGTTTTCAGCGTTCGCATGAAAATGGTTGGAGATACTACCAACCGAAACGTTGTGATAAAAACATCTTTACAAGACAATGGAAGTCCAAATAAACCATTCAATCTTGACATTCACAAATAGTCTTTAAATTGTTTTTTCTGCCGTTTTCAGCCTTCGCCTGAAAATGGTTGGAGATACTACCAACCGAAACGTTGTGATAAAAACATCTTTACAAGACAATGGAAGTCCAAATAAACCATTCAATATCGACATTCACAAATAGTCTTTGAATTGTTTTTTCTGCCGTTTTCAGCGTTCGCCTGAAAATGGTTGGAGATACTACCAACCGAAACGTTGTGATAAAAACATCTTTACAAGACAATGGAAGTCCAAATAAACCATTCAATATAGATATTCACACATAGTCTTTGAATGGTTTATTCCTGGGCTGGATGGCCCAGACTCCATAGTAAGTTTTCGAGCAAACCACCTCTCAAGCTGCAAGAGGAGTCCTTGACAGGTTTGTTAGGAGTTCCCTTGTCTTGGAAAGATTTTTTCTCTATATTCTCCAAATTGGCCAAATGGGAATCTACAATTCGAACTAATTGAAAATTGAATAAAAATCGATCAGAACTGCTGCTATCTTTGAAAAACCAAGCATTTGAGCAGCATAGTGGTACAATCCTGATGATTAGCGGTTAAAATTTTCTTGTTCCGGATTTTTTTGGAAGAAAAAAATCAATTCCGTCACTGATTTAACAAACAATTTCGCGGTTAAACAATTTGCATGTGCTTCGACGTTCGTTAGCTGGTTGTTTGCAATCAAGATAATAGACCATGCTCTAGAACAGAATACATAAAAACATGCCGAAGTAAGTACCTACTCCTGTAAAATTTTGCTCATTAATCTTCCAAGAGATAGTTGCGGTGTAAACTTTGACTTTGCAATTATTTTCGTGGAATCCATCATATTCTCAGTCTGTAAATGAATGTAATCAAGCTGATTTCGTTGGTTTGGGATAAACGTGACGGAAGTATAAATAGTATAAATGAAGACGTAATCGTGCATCAGCCTGCATGTTATTGCGAAACATTCAAAATAGAGCATTTAGAGTCTAGACAATCATATACAATAAAACATAGTTAAATATGGATGGCCATGAGGGTGATTGGTTAATGAGGATTGCTTCACAAATTCACATCCTAACGATCTGCGGAAGTTTCACTTAACAAATCACGTTCTATTTCTAAAAACCTTTCAATGTACTCGACTCATTGTCATTGGAAAGTTTGGGCTTACATTTAATCGCTTTAGAGGTAATAATACGAACTTTCCTAATGTTGATAACAACACAAATAATGGTGCCTTGACTACCTGAAAACTTGATTAGAAACGAATTGCTGCATTGTCCTTAGATTTCGTGGGTTCATATTAGGTAGAACATAAATACTTAAACCATGTAAAGACAAAAGTGTCGTCGAAGTACTTGCAATAATCAGATTCCTAATTAAAAGACCGTGATTTCTAGTCGATAAATTATATGCTAAAACCAGCAGACTCATGTCATAAATTCATTGCTTTTGTGCTTCTGAATTGCATATTTCATTTAGGTATTACTTGACGTAATAAGCAAACTTATTTAAATTTGTCGTTGTCACTATTGGCCTCTTTAATTAGGCAAATGGATTCGACAAATTCAACACTTTTAACTCTAGTAAAATGCCCTTTAAACACATTTCTATCGAGTAATGACAGCAAATTTTCACATATAGAGGAACTACGTGAAGTAACCTTCCAACCTTGGGCCGATCTCAGACCTCATGCATTCCTTGCCTGATGTTAACTATTAGGTAAGGATCGATATCCAGCTAATATCGTCCAAACATTATTAAATACGTCCACATAAAGTACTTACCAAAGATTTATTATCCTTTTTGAGGAAGGAGTGAAGATTGAACACTGAAAATGCGTCGCAAATTGACACCCAAACTAAGATCGAATAATGAGAATAAATGACTGAGTACCTGTGGTACCTGTACGTATAAAATTCACTAGAGGTTCCTTTCAATACGCTTTATAGATGGAACCACCTGTAAAATGCAACCTACTGATGGTACGGTAGGTACTATTCAGAAGGTTCTCGATTTCCTCATGTAGTGGCGGCACTGTAACTGCTTGAATGGTACCGTGCTATTGGATGGAAGTAAGGAAAATTCACCAGAAGTTTATCGTTTGCCTGATAAGATTAGATACGTTGTTAGTTGCTATCTCGATAGGAGAAAATGGTTTTTGCATCACATTTTTATCACTTATTATAATGTTTCTATAAAACACCCGAATTTGGTTTGAACCTTCTTGGTTTGAAAATTTTTCACTCCAATGCAGTTTTCTTTAAAACTTGTACGTACTTTCAATTTGTTGCATTTGGCGCAAAACGAACGTCTTCATTCAAATACCATAAAACTTCCGAATGCCGAATTAATACGAATTTTTTCTGGAACATTTCTAAACGAAAAACTAAATACAGTTGAGTCCGGATAAAACGAACTTAAAAAATGAACTAAAACTGGTTTGTTATATCCGGAGTTCGCTATAAGGGAATAATAATACAAAAACACGTGGTGTATTTTATTTCGTTATTTTTACATAGAGTAGTAAAAGTTAGTAGGTATGACTAAAAAGAACAC